TATCTTATATTTTGGGACAATGCATGAAGGGATATAAGGAAGGTTATATATAACAAAGGTTGACAAAACCACATATTCCTACAATCTAAAAAGCAAAGGTTTAATGTTTAGGCTGGTGATCACCTCAGATTTTTGTGTATGTTATAAAGTGTGAGTCCAGGCTTATTTTCTTTTCTTTATGAATTCTTGTTGACATTTATGGAAGATTTTTCTTTTCTCACAGATTCACTTTGCTTAAAAACAGTTCTACAAGTGTGGGCCTATTTCTGGGTTCTTTATTCTCTTATATTGATCTATTTTATCAGTCTTCAACTTTGTTCTTTTTCAGGATACCCTTGGATAGTCTAGGTCCTTTGCTTTTCCATATAAAATTTAAAATTAACTTTACATGTCTACTAAAAACCCTACCATGATTATGAAATGGGTGAGATTGGACCTACAGATGGATTTGAGAGTTGATCACTTAACAATATTGAGTATTGGTTTGGCACCCATAGCTCAGTGGTTAGGGTGCCAGTCACATACACTGGGGCTGGCGGGTTCAAACCCAGCCTGGGCCAGCGAAATAACAATGACAACTACAACAACAAAAATAGCCAGGTGTTCTGGCTGGCACCTGTAGTCTCAGCTACTTGGGAGACTGAGAAAAGAGAATTGCTTCAACCCAAGAGTTTGAGGTTGCTGTGAGCTGTGATGCCAGGGCACTCTACCAAGGGTGACAAAATTAGACTTTGTCTTGAAAATAAAATAAATTTTGTTTTAGAATCTGGCTGTGGTGGCTCATGCCTGTAATCCTACCTTCCTGGAAGGTTCAGGCAGAAGGATCATTTGAGCCTAGAATTAGCTTTCATACCATCTTCACTTGTTAAACCTCCTACCTCCATCCCCTCAAGCTAACACCTACTAGTGCTTCAAAGAGAAGCTGGTGCTGAGCAGGGAATTCTCTTCTTTCCTCCTTCAAGTGACCAACACGCCCTTATCTATACATAGCTTTTCTTCTTCCTCTCATTCAAACAGGGAGAAGGGAGTCTCGTCTTAAAAGCAATCCTACTGGATTACATTGACATCCAGTGTAATAAGTGATTCGCTTCTTCAGTTGTCCTGCTGTCCTTGTTGCACTGTCAGTCTCTCTGTCAGTATATCTAGTAGAATCTATATTTGAGAACATGAACTTCCCCTGACCACACATATCCCTCCAGTCCCTGCCAACATTTCTGCTTCTCCATGAGACAGCCTCTCCAGGTAGTTACCTGAGATATTTCTTCACTTCCTCACCTGCCTTTCAGATTTTAGCTCAAAGCATTCTGCCTCCACACCACCGTTAAATTTGTCAAGGTCTCCAGGTAAGTTTCATGTTACGAGATTGAGTAACTGTGTCTTTATCCCTTTTAGCTACCCAGTAGCACTGGATGCAGTTGACCACTTGCTGTTCTTCAGAAGCCTTCCCCTGGGGTGGCTGTGGCTTCTGTCTCATAAAGGATCACGGTCTCTCTCCTATTCAGTCTGCCTACCTAGCTTCTCCTTTTATTCCTGACCTTTGACTGTCCACTGCTGCCCAAGGCGTTGGCCCATTTTTCTTCAGCTTCCTGTCTTGAGCTGGCAGGTGCATATATGTCGTAAATGAGTGTGGTAAATAAGTAAAGGTGGACCAGCCAAAGCAGTGAAAAATTATTCTTTGGGGAAAAAAAAAAATAGTCAATTCCCGTTATTCAGTCTAAAGTTCTATGAACACTGAATTAGTGAATGACTCACCCATCAAAGTGCGCAGTTAGATTCTCTCGAGCCTCCGGTCACATCTTCATCAAATAATCAATATATAACTTTGTCTTATGTGTGGTGGTGTTTAAAAACAGCTTATTTAATCCATATTGTTGATTCATAGACATTGAACTCCTGGCCAAACAGCACTATAACTCATACCAGAGCAAAGTGTTTCTAACACACATGTTTTCTCTGTAAGATACACCACAGTCTATTCATGCTCAGGAGCACTAGACAGCATGTGCTTGGAGGACATTTTAAACAGCAAAATCACCAACAAAAAACACAAACGTGAAAAGTAAACACTAAATAGGCCACAAAAAAAGGGATATTGTTTCTGTATGAAAAGGGAACGTTGCTGGTAGGACCTCAGAACATGCGTGCAGCTCACCTTTGTCACCACCACATGCATGTCCACTGACAACTGGGAAAACACTGTGACTTTAGTAGTAGGCATATGTGAATGATGAGGATCCACTATACCTAGCAATAAGTTCACCATTGATTTAATTTAGAGGGCCCGTGGGTTAAATACAATTTACGTATTTAGTCAGAACACCAATTTTGTCTATGTCTTGTTTTACTGTATAACTCAGTCCTTGAATTAACCTGTAAGTCCAGTTCTAATTTCATCATTAAGGAAGTTGGTACCAGGTCTTATAACTAATGACAGCAGAGCTGGCACCAGAACCATATTTTTAAGCTGACTTTCCTGAAGCACCCACATCTCTGGGCTACTGTTATGTCCCCACCACCTACCATGGTACATAGTACTGAGTACTTACCCGATGCAGCTGTGCCTCCCAGCCCTCCTTCTGACGTGCTACAGATCCTTGTTTGTGACTTGGTGTCCACGTCATTCTCCTGAGGGGGAGAGAGGCCTGATCTAGTCCTTAAGGAGATTGTTTTTACTGGGTTATATATTTGTCTCTTGAACTTGGTTAGTGCAGGTTCTGGCACTACTGTGTGCCCAGCACTATTCCCAGAGCTTGAGATGCATCTGTTGATAGAAGCAGGCAGAGGCCCCACCTCTGTGCTGGCAGTACCTCCTGATTAGGGGGTAGGGGATGGCCCCTGGAAGGGGCTGGTGCTCCCTCTGAGATGTTGCCAGGCAGAGAATCTGCAAGCTGGGTCCCTGACCTCTTTGGATCCTTCATCTCTACGTCTCCCAAGTCATGGCAGTTGCTTGCTTTTGTTCCTTTTAAATATAGGTTTGCTTGCTATTGTAGGAAAAAAGATATATGTCGATTGGTAAAAGCAACTGTGAATAAACTACTATGAAGAACTTAGAATTATGCACTTGATCTCACCATCTGTTCTAAGTAGTCACATGCCACATAATGTTTCGGATGATAACTGGTCCTATTAGGTTATAATACTGTATTTTTACTGTCCTTTTTCTGTGTTTCTTTTAGGTGCACAAATACTTGTCATTGTGTTAGAACTGCCTGCAGTGCTCAGCACAGTAATGTGTTGTGCTGGTTTTAGCCCAGGAGCAGTAGGCTATTCCATACTCACTAGGTTAAGGTGACCAGATTTTAACATTGGTAAAGCGGGACACCATTGACGGGGAGTGGGAGTGGGGGTTCTTAATTAAAAATTTGGTCTATGTGGAGCAACAAAAATTTTCATAGAATGCAAAAATAGTATTATAATATATTTTTTTAATTTCAACATAAGTACAATTTACAAATATTATACATTAAAATTATGTATAGTATTATTTTATTCTTTGGCATATTTCTCATTTGAGTGAATTTTTTTAGTAGATTGCTGTCATTTAAAAGGTCATTAAATTTTTCACAAGAATTTGTTAAATTATATTTCATATATAAAATGGCTTTCAAAGTCTCAACACTTAATTGTGATTTTTCTGATGTCCACACTTTATTTACCGTAGAAAAAAACACATTCAGTCACAGCATTAGTTTCTGGTAAGGACAGTGCATATCCCACAGTTTTTAGTGCTTTATTGTATGGAACATGGTTTGTTTCAAAATGATGAAATATTTCTAACCATTTGTTCTCTATTGTGATTTTTGCTGATGCCCAAGATTTAACCTTTTCTTTATCAATATATTTTTTTAATAATGATACCTTGTAAGTCATAAGTATCACTTATAAGGCTGGCGCTAGACTTTTTGCTGCCACTATAAAATATAAATAATACAAGTACTGTCTGCTAAATTCATGAAATAAAGAAATTACTTACCTAATTTATCAGAATAGCTGACTTGTTGACATCATTTGTTTAACTAGCACTAGCATGCAGTACGATGTATGTGCAGTGGCTCACAACGCCAAAAAATGCCATTGTTCATTAAGTCCAAACAATGGTGGTCAAATTCTAACAACTGATCAACAATGTGAACTTTGATAAGCAGTTCTTGATAATCAGTTCTCAACAATTATTTATTATTAAAGTTTAACATTATAAAATTAACAAAAATAATATAAAACTCATATCCTGGCGAAATAGCCACATGGCAGCCGAAAACTGTATATTCCCTTCCTGTTCTCCTGCCGTTCCCTAGCTTGTTGTGCATTCTTTCCAAAAATTGGGATTTTTTTAAAAACACTATGGGATAAATTTTTAAAAATCAGGACTGTCCCACCAAAAGTGGGACATCTGGTCACCTTACGTGTAACTTGCTAGACCATCTAGGTTTGTCTAAGTGTACCCTGATGTTCATACAGTGACAAAATTGCCCTAACAACACATTTTCTTAATAATTGTGTTATGCCATGTTGGGTATATAAATTCTTTATCAAATGTCAGAATGTTGATACTAGGCTGGTGCTCACCATATTGGGCTGTCAGATCTGTGTTAAAATGGTTGGTACTGTGTATTTTCCTAGCAGTAGTTCATGCTTTAATGAAGTGGGCCCTTTTATCTTAGTCTTTCACTTTATCTAGTAGTTTGGTTCCTAAACTAGTGTGTTTTTAAGTTATATCATTAAAACCCAACAGCAGAGCTTCTTTAAAGGAATTCTTTCAAGTAACTTGAAATTTGTCTTTTGTGTGAACGTTCATGTAGGGACATCCTTATTTATGGTAGAAACATTCCGTAGGCTCCAGGTGATCATCATTTCAGACTCCCTAGGCTGTCTCCTGCTGCTCTGACAGGACCTGAGGCACCCTCAGGGCTCTGTTCTATTATTTCAACACACATTTGTCTGTGAGCAGATTCCTGTGTGTATATGTACATTTCTCCATGTATGTACTTTTCTCATTTCAGCTGATACTGAAGATGTGTGCATTGTAGAAAGATTGTTCTCAAGCAGCTTAGTGGCCATCGTTAGCCTCAAAGCCCCCAGGAAGCTAAAAGTTTGCCACTTTAAGAAGGGAACCGAGATCTGCAACTACAGCTACTCCAACACGATACTGGCTGTGAAGCTCAACAGGCAGGTGAGTGACACCCCATCTCAGCCACCTAGGTGTTGACTGTCCCCATGTTCCTCACCACTAATCCTTCTCTCCACCATTCTGCTTTTCTCTGTTTTCTTATCATACCAGCTTCACGCAGACCATTCTATGAAACATTCTATTCATGCCCTTGCCTTTGCTGGACTATTTTCATGCAAGCATTTGTCTGATCATCCTTAGGGTTGATAGCGTGGCTTTAACTTACTACATTCTTTTGCCTTTATAAATGTTATTTTTAAAACCCTGTTAGATTCTTTCCTTTTTTAAATTGTTAATGTAACTTTTAATTTAAGGTGAAGGATTTATTATTTTTCTTTATGTTTCCCCAAACTAAGAAGAATATCTGGCACAAAGTAGAGAGTCAGTAAATAGCACTGGAGTTTATTTCCTGAGACTGCCTCCTGGCTTATCCTGGCTCTCAGAGTAACAGCACTGTCTACAAGATCCTTCATCACTGTCTATTCACAACACTGTTCCAGGCAGGGCCAGTGGAATAAGCATTGGTACAGAATGCATTTGTAGCATGCTGTAACAGCCAGAGCTGTGTGCTGAGATGGGGTAACTGGACAAAGTAGTTGTAGTGTGGACCCTCCTAGTGTACATGATTAAAACTGGGAATAGGTCTGTTAACTGACAAAGATGGTTAAAATGAGAAATTATAGGACACGGTACCATGAACATTTTTACATTTAAAACATACAAATGTACATTCATGTCCATCTAATGCAGCACCAAGTGTGTGCTAAGGCATCTTTCTTGAATAATTATCCTCTTGATACAGCATCTACAAGTTTACATTCATTTTCTGTGGAGCAACAATTTGCAAAATAATCTGAGTGCAGAATAAAATTTTATACTTTTTTATTTTTTGAGACCAGAGTCTCACTCTTTTGCCCCAGGCTAGAGTATTATGGTGTCAGCCTAGCATATAACCCCCTCAAATCCTGGGTTCAAGCAATTCTCCTACCTCAGCCTCCCAAATAGCTGAGACTACAGGCACCAACCATAATACCTGGCCAAGTTTTCCATTTTTAGTAGAGATGGGGTCTCAGTTTGTTTAGGCTGGTCTCAGACTTTTGATCTCAAGCAGTCCTGCCTGGGCCTCCCAGAGTGCTAGGGTTACAAACGTGAGCTACCACACCCAGCCAAAATTTTATGCTTTTTAAAAATCCCACCTGAGTGCAGTGGCTCACACCTGTGGGGATGCCACTGCACTCTAGCCCAGGCAATAGAGGGAGAACCTGACTCAGGGGGGAAAAAAAATCTCTGAACTTTTATTTTTGTCTTACCTATACATCATTCAGCATTAGTTTTTAAAAGCAGCTTACCTTTGCTAAGTCTATCCAAAGCATACCTTTCTTAGCTGCAGTTTTATCAGTTTGTATAGTACTGAATTAAATCATTTTGTTAAAATTTCTGGTAGAACTAGCAGGGAGCAAGTGCTATGGGCTCTGGACTACTTGAGCAGTAATGGAAACTTACGTATCCTGTGCACCTCATAAGCCAATCTGCATGTTGGAGAAGGAATGGAGACCATTAAGTAGAGATTTGGGGTGTGGATGTACTGCATATTTCTTCATATTTGGTTTTGTCTTTCCCCTCTCCTTTGTAGAGGCTGATAGTATGCCTGGAAGAGTCTCTATATATACACAACATCCGGGACATGAAGGTACTGCATACAATCAGAGAGACCCCTCCAAACCCTGCAGGTGAGTTAATTTGTGAGAAGAGAAAAATATCCATTTTTCTGATATTGCATTTTAAAGGTAGCTATAGGTGAGAGACTTTTTTGTCTTTATAGGTTCCACAGATGAGACGGATTTTACAAGTATTGATCTTAAACCAACCTTCCTTCATACTAATGCTGGTCTTGTGAACCATATAAACTCATTGGTTTGATCAACTTTCAAGTTTGAGGTTACTGATCATTTCAGACCAAAGGCCTATAATCTATTCATGATACAGGTGTCACCTAAGGTGGTGGTTTTAGGGGTACAGTACTTGAATACACAAACGCCACAAAGTTATATCAGAGCTATTTTTGATTTTTACATGTTTTGTTAATTAAATGTTAAATTATATGTAACAACCTAGAAGGACATCTTCTCAGACTTTGTATTTTGCTCTCTGGATGTTATTCACAGGCTTGTGTGCACTGTCAATAAACAATGACAATTGTTACTTGGCATACCCAGGGAGTGCAACCATTGGAGAGGTACAGGTCTTCGATACAATTAATTTGGTAAGGTTTCTTTTCTACTTGGGTAGCTCTTTATTTATTCATTAATACGTTTTTGAGAGGAGGTCTCACTATGTTGCCTGGGCTAGCGGTGGCATTATCATAGCTCACTTGAACTCCTGGCTCAAGTGATCCTCCTGCCTCAGCCTCCTTAATAGCTGAGACTACAGGCATGTGCCACCATACCTGGCTAACTTTTTAGTTTTGTGTATATACAAGATCTCACTAGTTGCTCAGGCTGGTTTTGGCCTCCTTGCCTCAAGCAATTCTCTCCATAGCATGCTTTTTTGTTTGTTTGTTTTTTTGAGACAGAGTGTTATTATGTCACCCTGGGTAGAGTGCCATGGCGTTGCAGCTCTCAGCAACCTCAAACTCTTGGGCTCAAGTAATTCTCTGGCCTCTGCCTCCCAAGTAGCTGGGACTACAGGCGCCCACCACAAAGCCCGGCTATTTTTTTTTGTTGCAGTTTGGCCAGGGCTGGGGCTGGGCTCGAATCTGCCACCCTTGGTATATGGGGCCAGCACCACTCACTGAGCCACAGGCACCATCCCATAGTGCATTTTTAGCCTTATGACCAAATGGTGGCACAGGCTCCCACTGTGCCTCACTCACATTTCATTGGTTTCGCCATTTCAGAGAGCTGCAAACATGATCCCGGCTCATGATAGTCCTTTAGCAGCCTTGGCTTTTGATGCAAGTGGAACCAAACTTGCCACTGCTTCTGAAAAGGTAAGTCTTCTGTAGCCCAGGATAAGACTAGTTCAAAAGTTCAACAGACTTTTCAGTTGGTTCACACAGCCAAGTTACCAACAAGTTTTTATACCAGCCAACTCACAGAAAAGCAAAGATCACACTAGTGGTGCATGCTGCCATGGACGGTTGCACACACATCGTGCCGTTGTCAAACCAGGAAGCTAACACATCTGTGGAGTATGGAGAAACAGAGTGGATGGAAACACCACTTGTGACCATGCCCCTTGCCTAGGGTGGTTTTCAATTATGAAACTAACATAATTGGTTAGTTTCACCAATAATTGGTAGAGAATTCACATGTAAAAGAGGAAAGAGCTATTTCAACTCTCCAGCTAATCTGAATACATTCCAGTATATTTCCTTTCATTCTCTAACAAAATTGGAATCCTACTATCGGCATAACTTATCTCCTCTCTCACTTTGCATAGTATTATATGACACTTAATGGCTGTACAATATCCAGTTGTGGTTTACTTAAACATCACCATTTTAGAACATTTATATTGTTTCTGAATATGTTGTCAAACTTTTATGTGTATTTCTAATTATTAACATAAGAGATTCTGTTTAGAACTCCTGGGTTAATGGAGCATGGTCTCCCCAAACCCCCTGTTTCCGTGCAGAGTGGTCAGGCCCCCTCCACCCCTGGGACACCAGCAGTGCCTCTTATTCTTACATGGCCACTCCCTCTTTATCTTTTTCTGTTCCTCTTAAGAGTTTTGCCTTCTCTTCTTCTGCCACTTGATGAAACTTCCACTTTTGCCTTTTTTTTGTTTCTTCCTACTCTTCACTTGCCCACTGAGGAATTTGACTTTGATTTTGATTTAATTTTGGCTTCTGCCTGAAATCCTAAATCTCCCAAAAGTCACCTCTCCTTCTGACCTACAAACCAAATAAAATGTACTAAAAAGTCGGCTCACTTTAATTTTCTGGCATGGGTCTTTGTTCTGTAATCTCATACCCAAGTTCTTTAGAATGGTTTTACCATTTATGGATGACTTCTATGCCATGAATTATATTGGGTCCTTTGTCCTTATTACCTCATTGGATCCCCATTGGCAAAGAAGACATTTTCCTTTTTATGTCAGGAGCTCAGAGAGGTGAAGTAATGTGCCCAGGGTCACCCAGTTGGGCAGTGACAAAGGGATTAGACTCCAGGTCTGACTTGGCTTCTGATCATGCTAGACTATCACAGCATCACCTTGTCCCTTTCTTTTGCCTTGGAGGTATTGAAATGGCCATGAAATTGCATTATTTCCTGATTAATCAACATTTCATCATTATGTTTTTTATTAGCTTACAAAGACCCTAAAACACCAAACGGAACTTCAAGGCCAATAAAAATAGAATACGTTTGTTCTGAACTATAAAGAGCAAAGACGTAATTTGCTTTTACGCAGAATCCTTTTAGTTTGTGACCTTATTGTGTCTCGCCCTCTCAGTCATTCTGGGCCCACCCAGGTAAATGGCTTAATCTTACTTCCAAGGATCTTGCAGTCATGTAATGCATCATCTCTTAATTAGTATTATGAAGTAGAGATGGCATTAAACAATTAAAAAGTTTAGACTATAAGAGATAAAACCTTTGCCTTTGCCATATATATTTTTATATATAGATGTGAAATATTTTGTCTCCCTAATTCATATTTAACAGTTTGAATCTTTAAAATATTTAAATGTTAAATAATTCTTTCTACACTGCAGATTGAAAATGCTACCTGTTTTGTTTAAGGTTTTCCTTTTTTTTTTTTTTTTTTTTTTTTTTTTTTTTTGAGACAGAGCCTCAAGCTGTCCCACTGAGTAGAGTGCCGGTGGCATCAAAGCCCCCAGAAACCTCCACCACCAACTGGGCTCAAGCGAGTCTCCTGCCTCAGCCTCCCAAGTAGCTGGGACCACAGGCATTTGCCACAATGCCTGGCTATTTTTTGGTTGCAGCCATCGTTGTTTGGCGGGCCCAGGCTGGATTCGAACCTGCCACCTTAGGTGTATGTGGCTGGCGCCTTAGCCACTTGAGCCATAGGCGCCGAGCCTTCCTTTTTATTTCTTATGCTGTTTTAATACTGTTATTTGGTAGTATTCTTCTAATATTCAAATGTTGAAAGCACTGTTCATTTTTATTTTCTTGGCTATTGTCTCATTTATTCACCCAGATGTTTTCATTCTGTCTCATCATCTACAGATCCCTATTAACTTATCTGGGAGAAGGAAATAGGAGAGTGATGGGGAAAGTTGCATCTTCAGGTTACTTCATTTCAAAGCAAGGCACTACAGCATACCATGTATTCTTATTTTCTTTTGTCTTAGTATTATGTATGTCTTAGCATTTTATAAGTGTGGATTTACTACTTTTAAGGTTAAGTAATGTTCACCTAATTGGATCTCTTGGTCAGTAACTCAGTTGAAAGTGGTGGAAAGGAACTCAGTGGGTACCAGAGGCCGCCTCAGACCACAGAGCATGGCAGTGCTTCCTGCTGTGCAGGGCTTGGCCTAGGTTTTTATTAATAGTTTAAACTACATTATATTCCACATTTGACCTCAAGGCTATTAGTATTTAGAATAAGTATTAAGTTAAAATAGATTGCTGGAAAGAGAAGATTTAATAGCGAGTAAATAGTAGAACCCAGGGTGTCTTCGTATGCCTTTGGCACGGAGCATGGCCATGTTGTATTCAGGGCCCCTGGAGAGCTCAGGCAGAGAGGAGGGTACTTTAGGCTCCCTGTTGACCCAGCTCCAAGCTATTGCTGAAAACAACCACGCGGTTCATTTGTAGTCTGACAAGTGAAAGAAATAGCAAAAGTCTATTTTTACTCAGCTAAAATAATTTTTTTCTTTCCCTGTCACAGGGGACCGTGATTAGAGTATTTTCCATTCCAGAGGGACAAAAACTCTTTGAATTCCGGAGAGGAGTTAAGAGGTAAAGTATATAAATCTCCAAAATTGATTCTGGAGGTTGTATTAATATTTGGATTTCAGTTTTATATTATCTATGACCAAACAAGTGGGAACTTAAGGAAACACAGGGAAAATTCCAATTAAATACAAAAGCATTTGCAACTGAACTGGATTACCAAGTGAGATTTTGCAGTCAGTTTTATCATAGAAGTTAAAGAACATTTTTATAAAAGCAAACTAGATTTCCATTTGTCTCTGACCCCACCTGGATGTAGAGTGATGTCCAGAAAGCCCAAAAGTTTGGAAAAACTAAAGTAACCAAGCCAGGCCTTCTGGTTGTAGCCTAATGTCCTCCCCTGGTCAGCATGCTCCTTTCCTGTCCTTTACTCTCTGAGAACCTACATCCAACTTCCCGGTCACCCCTAATGGCTTAGACGCTTTTTTTAAAACCAGGAAGTCACCTGGAGTTCCTCTATAGACATCCCATCTCTGTGCCTGGTACTCACTCTCACTGTAGAAGCAGGAACGTCCCTCCACATGTAATAGAACAGGTGGAGACTCAGGCTCTGGAGCCCGGGCCCTGGGTCAGATCCTTGGGCCACCCGTTGTGCCTGTGTGTCGTTGGTCAGCAGCACTTCACCTCTGGGTCTCTGATTCCTTGTCTCAACTGGACCACGATCAGCTGTGCCTCCCTCCCCTGAGGTCGGGCACAGAGAAGAGGGCTTGGCTCAGGAAATGTGTGTTCAGTAACAGGTAATACCCCCTCCCCCCCCCCAGGGACTCTCCCACTGTCTGCTATCATGTCCCCTGCCTTTGTGTCCCAGAATGCTGCAGCCCCTCAGTCACTGCCTCCTAGTTTCCCATGCTGCTCCCTCTCAGATCCCTCCTCCTGCACCTGATTGACCCTAGAGCCTTGTCTCACCCCACAGCCGCCCTGACCCTGTGGGCTATCTGTGTTGCTGACTGCAAGCCCAGCTGTCTTGCCCCTGCAGCTTCTTTCAAGGGGTTCGCCAGTGGTTTTCCTGCCCACCTGACACTGAGTGCTGCAGACCAAGTTGTCATATGCCCCCATCCACTTATCACCCTCTTGGTCAATGTCACCCCTGGCCACTTTCCCCATGCCTAGGCCAGAGGGACCTGGCTTCACTTCTTCCTCTCATCTGTGGATTCAGTTGCCCAGGGCGTTTCTCTGCAACTTCCTATGCACTGCCCTCCCTGCTCACTTCACTATCCAACCTCACACCCTCTTAGTTTCCCCACAGGCAGGTCATTCTTTTATGTGAACCGGGGCTTTTCTTTGAAGATCTAAGTATAATGAGATCACACCCCACCTAAAATCTTGTTGCTCTTGCTGCCTGTGGGATTAACTCCAGACTCCTTGCCATGGTTCCTGACGCCTTCTGGCATCTGGCCCTTTCTTTCCACCCTTATTTTATTTCACTTTCCCTGTTATTTCCTGTTCCAGCCATGCTATATATTGAGTTCCTCAGAAGAGCACATCTGTTTTCTTCACTGGGGTTATGCATGCACTGAGTTTGGGACACTTGTCTGGTTGCCTGACCAGCTTCTTTTAGTCCTTTGTGTCCGAGTCCAGCACCTCTGTCCAGGAGACTGTCCCTGACCCTGCACTCTCACTGCTTATTAGCTCTGCCTTCTGTGTGTAGCACATTTAATAGATACACCCCTCCCCACATACATCCCCACTGTAAGCTCCCTCAGGGCAAGAACACACTCCTGTCTAATCCCCACAGCTCAAGTGCAATACTCTGTACCTTATAAACACTTAGTAAATGTTTTACTAAATACTCCTTACTGTAATTGACGGGGCTAAAGTCTCTGGTTTTAGGGCTATAAAGAAATTCACATTTAATTCAATAGCTTTCAGGGTTCTTTTTTATTTTTAAGATATACTAGGCCAGGTACAGTGACTCATGCTTGTAATCCTAGAATTTGGGGAGGTCAATGCAGGAAGCGGATCACTTAAGCCCAGGAATTAAGAGGCTGCAGTGAGCTTTTATGTTACCACTCCAGCCCAGGTGACAGAAAAGACCCTGTCTCAAAAAACAAAAAACAACTATTCTCATGTTATCAAGGTTACTGATTTACCCTGTGACTTGTTAAGAATTGCTGTAATTTAGGAGCAACACCTGTAGCTCAAAAGAGTAGGGCACTGGCCCCATATGCCCGAGGTGGCAGGTTCAAACTCAACCTTGGCTAAAAAAAAAAAGAATTGCTGTAATTTAAATTTAAATTACTGAGTTTTTTTTACTAGCCTTAAGGCTGTGAGGATTCATCCTAACTCCGCTGAAAATGGTTTAATGAAATCCCGATTCCCTTTGTTATTTGGGCTGGCAAAGAAAATTGGCTGTTTAAGAATATTAAAGAGTGGGGTGGTGCCTGTGGCTAAGAGGAGTAGGGCCCTGTCTCCATATGCCGGAGGTGGTGGGTTCAAACCCAGCCCCGGCCAAAAACTGCCAAAAAAAGAATATTAGGGGAAAAAAAAGAATATTAAAGAACCGCTCTTACTTGGTATTGCCTTTCAAACATTTTCCTCTCATTTTCTCAAAATTTGTGAGAAAATGGCTGAGGAGGAATGAAAAATATCAGAGACCCAAGTATGCTGTGATGAGAGCTTTTCTTCTTGGTCAGTTCAGTTAAAAATCCCTGGAGAAATGTTCCTAGTTATCTCACAGTGTTTACTGGTGGTGACAGAAGTACAGCCCTCCTTTCAAGTGTGCACTGTCTCCCCAGGTGTGTTAGCATCTGCTCATTGGCCTTCAGCATGGACGGCATGTTCCTCTCTGCATCTAGCAACACCGAGACTGTGCACATCTTCAAACTTGAGACTGTGAAGGAAAAGTGAGTTGCAAAGATACATTTGTTTAAAAAAATACAAAATGCTTTGTTCCCATTTACTGACAGGATGAAAACACAAGCTCAGAACTGTCCTGCCCTTAGCATTATTTGCGAGCCAAGGGTTGCCACAGCCATGCTCAGAAGTGACATAGATGTCCCTTCTGTCAGAACACTAGAGAATGAGGCATAGCATAACTGTCCAAATGGACATCTTCTAGTCAGTGCTTATGTGCCCTCTGCACACTCCCCTTGAAAATAAAAGCACTTGGGATTAGATTGCCCCTAGAATGATTACTGGGTCTCTGACTTGCCCACAGGTAAGCAAAAAGACTTTTAAAGCAGTTGATTAAACTATGTATTATTTCATGAATATGTATGATGAACGGGGGCCATCTTGTTTTTTCTCTCCTTAAATTTCAAAAAGGACATTCCACTACGATTATTATAGTTGATACTGTGTCTTTCTCAAAGGAGTATTTATAAGAACAAAACATATGAAAGACGAACAACAACAAAAATGGGCCATAGGAAAAGAATAATTTGTAACAAGATGGCCCTGCTACAAAGATTTGGTAGTGGTCATCAGTTAGGCCCTAGATGGCCTCGCATTCGCTGCAACAGGAGGGCCTGGTCACCTGACAAGAAATAACCCCTGGAGGAGCCAGAGGCCCTTCCACATCCCCTGTAGCCCCCAGAGCCTTGAGTTGCACTGTGTTTTCACCAACCCTCTTTTTTTTTTCCATGAAATATGGAGAATGTCCCCATCAGGCTTTGGAGCTGTTTTTTCCTTGTGTGGATAGCATGTGGTAGTTCTCTCAGGGAAGAATCCAACTTCATATGTCTGGTGTTGTTTATTTCTTTCTAGACCTCCAGAGGAACCCACCACTTGGACTGGGTACTTTGGGAAGGTGCTCATGGCCTCCACTAGCTACCTGCCTTCTCAAGTGACAGAAATGTTCAACCAAGGCAGAGCCTTTGCCACAGTCCGCCTACCCTTCTGCGGCCACAAAAACATCTGTTCACTGGCCACGTGAGTAGAGATGGACACCTCTTCCCTTCCCCTCAGCCCTGTGTTCCTCCAGATGAGGGGTTGAGTCAGAGTGACCTATTGCAGAGCACCACAGAACTGCAGTACATAGTCCCCAGGTCAAGGACCAGTACCAGTCCGTGGCCTATTAGGGACTGGGCTGGGTGGGTGAGTATGTGAAGCTTTGTTTGTATTTACAGCCACTCCCCATTGTTTGCATCACTGCCTCAGCTCCACCTCCTATCAGATTGGCTGTGACATTAGATTCTCATGGGAGCTCTAACCCTACTATAAATTGCAGGTGTAAATGATCTAGGTTGTGCACTCCTTCTGAGAATCTGATGCCTAATGATCTTAGGTGGAACTGAGGTGATGATGCTAGCTCTGGGGAGCTGCTGCAAATACCAATGATTGTTAGCAGAGAGGTTTGACTACACAGAGATGATAATAAATCGATTGCTTGCAGACTCATATATCAATACCATACCACCCTCCTTCCCAGTCCGCAGACAAAATCTTCCATGAAACCGGTTTCTGGTTCCACTGCTATAAACAATGGTTTGTGACCCTGAGCACAGGTTCAGAGTGCCCATGGCATCTTGAGGACCTCACCAGGATGGTCTGAAATGTTGCTGTGTAGGAAAATACTGTGTTTAAAATGTGATGATATCTGGCCCTGTAGTGTTAGAGAAGAAAAAGGAAAAGAGAAAATTCAGTGATAGAAGATCTTTGATTCTATGAGTTTTGTAAACATTTTTCTACCCTTGCTATTTGTCAGAATAGCATAGTTGAAAAAGTTCTGTGAAAACACCCTTAGTAGTCAGATAAACTACAAAACCATTTGGTTCTGCACTGTTCTCCCTTTAGGACCCAGCACTCATTCACACTGAGTACATCGTTGGCCTTGACATAGGAGCTCCCAGTAGCATAGTGGCAGTACCCGTGGTCCTTATGCTCATAGATGTGCATCAGACTCGCAACATTAAATGTGTGCTAATTTTGGTGGGTTTAAAGTTGAGGTCTCTCATTTGGTTGCTTTTAATTCTCACTAGAATTCAGAAGATCCCCCGGCTGTTGGTGGGGGCCTCTGACGGGTACCTGTATATGTACAACCTGGACCCCCAGGAGGGGGGTGAGTGTGCCCTCATGAAGCAGCACCGGTGAGTCTGCCATCCAGCTCCACTTTTCCATGCATTCCCACACTGTGAGAGCTATTGGGCACCCATTACATGCATGCATTTCTTTGAAAGCCCATGATGCAAAGGGGCAGATTCCAGTGTGGCCTGTGCTCTATAGAAGCTTCACTTCCCCAGCTAAAGCCATTCTGCCCCTGCCGCAGTTCTAAAATCTGGGTAAAAGTAAGAGGTGATTTTTTTTTTTTTCAATAATGAATTCTATCTTATGATCTTCCATTTTAAAAATCAAGTAAGATGGTGGTGCCTATGTCTCAAAGGAGTAGGGCACCAGCCCCATATACCGGAGGTGGTAGGTTCAAACCCAGCTCTGGCCAAAAACTGCAAAAAAAAAAAAAAATCAAGTAAGAGTGCACCACTAGGTGTGACCTATTCATCAGACTTTTCACATAGAAATGTGAACTGACCAGGCAAGGTGACTTCACGCCTGTAATCCCAGCACTGTGGCAAGTTGAGATGGAAAGGATCTCTGGCGACCAGCAGTTCAAGATGAGCAAGAGCAAGAACCAATCTCTACAAAAAAATAGAAAAAGATGGCTGGGTGTTGTGGTGGGCCCCTGAAATCTCATCTACCCATGGGATTGTACCCTTTTCCTGTGCACCAGATCTGTATTGAACCATGGGGCTCCCAGCTGCAGAGGCTGATAGTCAGTACACAGACAGACATGAAGTCATCCCAGCTGTGGCCATTTCACTCCCACTGAACCATCTTCCTCTAAGCTGAAGCAGGAGGATCGCTTGAGCCGCAGGTGTTTGAGGTTGCAGTGAGCTATGATGATGCCACTGCACTGTAGCCTGGGCAACAGGTTAAGACCCTGTCTTTTAAAAAAAGGTGAACAGATTGACAAGAGGTTTATTGGAAAGTAGCCACAATGTTTGGAACACTCAGTGTTCCATCTGACGGTGGCCCCATTGCCTTTGTTTCTGCAGATGTACCAGTGTGTGTTTCCCATAGGGCAGCATATGATTGCACTCATGGCTGGCCTCTCTGGAAACCCTGAATTTTGTGTTTGTTTTTCTCTCCTTTCTCCAGGTTGGATGGCAGTATGGAGACAGCCAGTGAAATCTTAGACTCTGCCTCTCATGATTGCCCCTTAGTAACTCAGACATACAGTACAGCTGTAGCAAAAGGTACTTATGTGCCTTCGTCTCCAACAAGACTTGGTAAGGAGCATGACACAAACCTCGAAGGTAATTAAAGTCATCAACTCCTATGGGGTCCTCACACTTTGCTTTCACCAGAGCTTCCCCCTTTTACTTTTCATTGAGAAAGAGAAGTGATGGTTTGAGGGGAGTAGGTAGAGGTCTTATGTAAGTGGGGTTACCAAGGCCTTTCAAAACTGAGTCCAGGGCCAGACACAGTTGCTCGTCCCTGTAATCCTAGCATGTGGGAGGCCAAGGCGGGTGGATGGCCTAAGCTCACGGATTTAAGAGCAGCCTGAGCCAGAGCAAGGCCTTGTCTCAAAAAATAGCTGGCATTGTGGTGGGTGCCTATAGTTCCAGCTACTTGGGAGGCTGAGGCAAAAGAACAACTTGAGCCCAAGAGTTAGAGGTTGCTGTGAGCTATGACACCATGGCACTCTACCGAGGGTAACAAAGCTAAAGCACTCTCCCAAAAAGCACGGCCAGGCATCTGGCTTCAGTCTTTCCCTCCACCTTTTCCTGTGCAGCAGATCTGTATTGAACATACCCCTGTGTGCCAGGGGGCTGAGGCAGCAGCGTAAATGAGACCATGGGGCTCCCAGCTGCAGAGGCTGATAGTCAGTACACAGACAGACATGAAGTCATCCCAGCTGTGGCCATTTCACTCCCACTGAACCATCT